TAGTACTTTGGCTACAGTGACCTTAAATACACCCCACAGGTTCTCACTTCAGGAAATTTACCCTACTACTTCCTCTGGCCAAAATGCTGTTCCTCCTGAATACCACATGCCTTTCTCCCTCCCTTCCCTGGATCTCTGCTCAAATGTCATTTTATCAAAAAGGCTTTTTCTGACCCCACACTCATCCTCTTTTGAGGCTTTCTTTCTCTTCATGCTGCTTGTTAACCCCTCAAATGCTATAAACTAATAATTTTAAACAGGCTGCTTTAAACAGGAGAAAAATTAATAAACTACAGGGTAACTTCAAAGAAAATTAATACACCTTCACTTCAAAATTAAAAGTTTTCAGAAAGATTTAGTAAACATTAACACAACAGAAATGAAAAGAAAACCCACAAACAAAATGAACTTAGTGCAAAAAAAATTCTGTGGGACAAAGAAACCAGCAGCATTATAAAAAGCACAGAGCAAAAGGACAGCAATTAACTCATACCTATCGATAATTACACTAAATGTAAATGGGTTAAATGCACCTATTAAGAGACAGACAGTCACAGAACAGAGCAGGAGCCTTCAATAACCTGTCTACAAGAGACACATCAAAAAGATGGAGACAGCCTAAATGCACATCACCAGAAGAATGGCTAAACAAACTCTGGAACACACACACAATGGAAAACTACACAATGTTGAAGAATAACAATCTGCAAAACACCTCACAACATAGATGAACCTGGAGGAGATTGTGCTGAGTGAAATTAGTCAATTACAAAAGGGAAAATATTTCATAAGACCAATGTTGTAAAGAGTTAAGAAAATGTTTTCTTGATAAAAGAAACATTCTATGATAATTACGGGGTAGAGGGAATTATTCCGTAGCTTGAGAGTAGACATGTTAACCTGGGTGACACGGTAGGCAATATACAACAAGAGGGGTGTGGGCAGACAAAAGGTGAAGGGAGCAGGAGACACAGGAGTTAAACTGAAGAGGTAAATACTAGTAGCTGATGGTACACGGAGGGGATTGAGTCATTATAAGGAAGCAAAGTGTATGGCTAGTTGAATGTAAAACTGACGATCTGCTCTGCAAACTTTCTTCTCAGTTCACAATAAAAAGTTAAAAGATATTATTTTCAAGTATTTTTCTATACAGAATGAAAACTACATGTAAGTAAGAACTTTGTCTTGCTCTCTTCAATTCCTAGCATCCTGAGCAGTGCTTGCAAAAATTAACCATTCAATAGAAATTTGTTAACTGATGGAATGAGTGACTGGATGGATATATAAAATACATGGTATCTAACAATATTCAATATTTTAGCTTTTTTCTTCACTTTGCGCGAAACGCTGTGGGTACCCCAGACACTGCCTCAGTCCCTCTTGGGCACTAGCGGATCAGTATAAAACCCTGACTTGGACCTTACCCCGATGGGACTCTGGACAGAGACCTGGGGCAGACTGCCTTATCCCATATGAGGTTGCCCATGGAATACCATGAGTGTTTACCAACAAATGCTTAAAAAATCCAATCTGTTTATTTGATTTTGCAAAATCCGGCAGACACAGGCAGACCAGAGGCATGGGCAGCTTGCAAACAGTTGTATTCCTGTCTCAGAAAAAGGTCCTCCTCCAGTTCCTTTTACTGGGTGTTTTGGAGTTTATGATGTTTCCATAAGTCGGCAACTAGTGCTAACTGGGAGCATTCTCATTTAAAGTTAGATCTCCCCATCCCCATGACCTTCCCCTGTTTCCTTCATGGGTGTATTCTTATTTTAAATGAGTCTAGCTGGTCAAACTAGTCTCTCATCTCCTCAGAGCTCCTTTTGTTATGCCAGCCTGCTGCCCCCAAGATTTCCCTTAGTCCTGAAGATGGACCACCCCAACAGCTCTTTCTCACAACTTGACAAGGAAAAGGAGAGATCCCTAAGGAATATCCTCTGTGCTAGAAGAACTGATAATGGAAACAGAAGAGTGGTTAAAAAAAAAAAAGAGAGAGAAACAGGACAAAAATAATGACATTAGAACCAAAAAGGGGAGGTAACTATGGCAAGCACAAGAGTAGTCAAGGAGACCAGGATCTAGAAGCGACTACAAGATCAGATATCTGGAACACACCATAAAATTTCATGTTAGGTTGTTAACAAGTCTGGAAGTCTGAGTCTTTCCTTCCACTTTTCGATTGTAGAGTCACATGTAAATTGTGTGGCCAGAGAACACCTGTACAACAGAAACGAAATCACAGAGTAATGTCTGTATGAAGTAAACCTCATTTACTCCCTGAAGAATATTTGTGGAAAGCATACACTTAAGTGTAGGGAGTCGCAGAATATTCACAAAAGTTTAAAAAAAAAAAAGTGTGTGCACAATGATGCTTTAACATTGTGGTTCCTGGGCAAATGGAAATCGTGTTAAAACTCAAATAGGTTAACCAGAAACATCAGTAGGGTTTTGAATTCAGGATAATTTCAGAACAACAGCAACTTTCTGAATCTGTAATTAAA